GGACCGCGAATTTAACCACCCGTAACTCCCGAACCCCGGGGGCTATCGACGCGGAGGTGGTCTCATTCGAAAGGGGGCCTCGAGACATACACTTGATTCACGTTCGAGAGGGTTCCTCGAGCTGAAGGGATCCCCGGAATTTGGTGCGGATTCGCCGCGCCTTTACGGAGATATGGCTATTCAAAGTTTCAATGGTTTTCCATAGACTTAAGCTTTAAAGCGTTTCATCCAGGTAGCCAGTAGCAAACAATGGAGCACGCTCTGCTGGACAAACTAAGTAATTACACCATTTCAAGCATTTTATCTGCGTACAAAAAATAGTATGCAAACAATATATATTTTTAAAAATATAGATATAGTAAGATTTGTTTGTGTATAAATATTAATATGAATCATATTTTATAAAAAATATTTTTAGAAAAATTATTTCGTTTTAATTATTTAGTCATGAAGACACTATAAATTGCGGTTATTTCTTCTGGTTCATTCTTCACAATGAAAATTGAAGGTTAAGAGGATCGCATTGCATTGTGGGATATAGAATGCCACAGTTAAACTGCATATTTTGCCACCTTTTAGTAGGCATTTCATAAACACAAAAAATTGCATACTGCACGCAGTAATCTAAAATCATAGTATGTAGCAAGATATTTTGGGTGTGATTTTATTATATTACAAAAAATAATTACTCACCACTGCAAACTCATCTTTGTCCAAGTGTCCGTCTTTGTCTATGTCACTCAAATCCCACACCTGTTCAGACGGAGTCATTTAATAATGCTATTTTTTTATAAATATAATAGTATTTTTAATTACATTTAATTATTAATAAAACTATTTTTATTATTAATATAACTATTATATTTTAATAGAAATATTATCTTAATTTTAATCTCTTAATCTATTGACATTTTACCTTTCCAAGCACATCCACAGGAAGTTTGGAGTTTATTAGAACTGGTTTGACCTTCTCACCGGACAGTAATCCATTCACTGGAGCAAGACTTTCAAAAATACCATCAAATTTGCTCTTCTCTTCAGGCTGAAAAATAAACATAAGGATAAATATTCATAAAATCTTTTGTAATGCGCAGTTACAATGAGAAGCTCATGGGATAAACAGTGGAAACATCTTACCCGCACCGCCCAGTGGCTCTCATTGGTTGATGTAATAGAGCTCAGTGATGGGCTACTGTGGTCCTTCTAGAACAGAGACGAGAATCCTGTCAGCTCATGCTGCCTGGAAAATTATGATATCAGCTCTCAGCACTGACACTTACGAATTTTGGAGAGGGAACGGGGAGGTGTAGACCGGAAATGCTGATGTCGTGTCCACTCTGCGCACAGGCCACGAGACGCAGAGCTACGTAAAATCCCTGAAAACAAACCACAAGGGATTCAAGTCAGCATCCAATTTGATGCTCTTATAAACTCTGATAGCTTTACCTGTTTATCCAAGAAACCTTTGCCATCCGGATCAGCTAAATCCCAGATCTGAAAAGAGACAAGCAGGTAATTATGGATTATGAATTTTCAAGCATCGTTTCGCAACGAGTTTTACCCGAACACTAACCTTTCCTAATGTGATGTCAGGCAGGCCTGATTTCTTCAAAAACAAGGCAGCCTCGGTAGGTCCAACCCTCCCGGTGTTTCCCGGGTCCACCTTCAAAAAACACACAAAAAGTGAGTGAAATACGGCTTTTTGTTCCAAAAAGGATTGATATATTATAAAAACAGATCACTATGATACAGTCTAGAAACGTTAAATGTGGTTTGTCAACAGAATTATGGCCTTACTTGTCTGTAAAAGTTCTCATATACAGGGTTCCCGCTTGACAGCTAAAAGAGGGAAAAATAATATTATTGAATAATAATCAGTATTATGATTAGGTAATATAATGCACAGCGCTGTTAGTAGGCGCGTTTCCATTACAGATTTGCGCAAAACTTTGGCGATATTTTATAAATGTCGATAAAAAAGTATTGCGAAATGAAAAATGCATGCATGACAGTTTCAAAAGTCTTACCAGACAAATAGGGCTTAACCTTTGCTAAAAGACGAAGATGATAGAAACAAGACCTAACCACAGCACATACCTGCTTATCAAATTTAAGACTGTTATCAAGCAAAACCCCCAGATTCCGAACACAGGTGTTTAGGTGTAAGGTAACAGAGTATCGAGATCAACATCATGAATGCTGTGATCATTTGAACCAAACAAGATAATTTCAGTCTTACTCTCATTAAGACTTAAGAAATTACTAGCAAGCCAAAGTTTCAGTTCGTCTAAGCAGTCTAATATAGGCTTAAAGGCATGCTTATCGTCACGCTTTAAAGGCAGATAAATTTGTGTGTCGTCAGCATACAGATGAAAAGATACACCATATCTAGATAAAATAGAACCCAAAGGTAGCATGTAGAGCTTAAACAGTACCGGGCCAAGAATAGAGCCCTGAGGGACACCAGAACTTAAGTGTTTATCAGAGGAAGAATGGTGCCCGAGGCAGACAACTAAACAAGTAACTCCTATTGGTTAAATATGAGTGAAACCATTGGAGCACCGTACCCCGAAAGCCCACACATGCTTCTAGACGTGATAAGAGAATATTGTGATCGACCAGGTCAAATGCAGAGCTAAGGTCTAGCAAGACCAAAGTCGCAGACTGCCTGGTGTCAGTGGTGAGTATTACATCATTCATGACTCTTAAGAGGGCCGATTCGGTGCTGTGACGGGCTTTAAAACCAGACTGAAATTTCTCGTGTATATTGTTATCATTCAAAAAAGGCAAAAGTTGGCTCAGGACCACTTTTTCTAAAATTTTTGAGAGGAAAGGTAAATTTGAGATTGGGCGAAAATTACTCAAGAGCGTAGGATTCAAATTTAGTTTTTTAAGATGAGGCAAAACAGAGGCATGTTTAATGCCGAGTTCACACTGCACGATTTTAGCCCGGTTGTTTTTCATGTCGGCAGGTTGAAGCGACCCCAATAACGTGATATTTAGGACCTGGAATGTGAAATGTACCAGGAGAACCCCGCCAAAAAAATGTGTATTTTACCCCCCCAAACGCGAAAGCAATTGGGCTATTTTCAGGCTAGTTTTGAGTAGTAATTGGGCGGGTTTTGTAGCGAAAACCTGGCAACCCTGCACCAGACAGAGCTGTCGGCAATTCTTCCTATTATATAGTCATGCAGTGTGTAACCTCCTGTCGTCGTCTGTGAACCCGGCATTAGGCAGTCAGGTATGGTCCCAGTAAAAAGACACTTGTTGATGACAGACAACAAATCAGGGCCAATAGCTTGAAAAACTTGCTTAGAAATAAAAAATTTTTAAGAATTTGACAAAAGATGACCTACTTTTAATAAAGTTATAGGAGTCAAATATCACCTTGTAATGGGAAGGCTACTTTTTGATAAAATTTTGGATAATTGTTTAGAAGGTGCTCCTAAAATTTTAAACGTGCTCCTAAATTTTTTAAGTTAGGAGCCCAAGTGCTCCTAAAAAGAAAAGTAAGCGTAGAGCCCT